AGGTAACGGGGCCGCGCAGGTAACGGGGCCGGCGGGACGGGACGGGCGGGGCAAGGCACAGCCCCGCGGGACAGGCGGCACCGACCCCAGCCCCGGCCCCTGCCCGGCGCCCCCGCGCCCCGCCGCTTTGGGGTTCCCGGGGCTCCGTTCGCCGGTCTCCGCCCCCCGGGCGCGTAACGGGGCGCAGATGCCCCATCCCGGGCGCGGGGAAGCGCTGCCGGCGGACGCGGCTCACGGGGAGGTTTCTGGGGCACCTTTTTAGTGCAGCGGTCCCGGTAATGCCGCCATCCCGGGCCGGTTCGGCGAGCGGGAGAGCCCCGATCCCACGGCTGGGCATTCCCGGACCCGATCCCACAGCTGGGCATTCCCGGGTCCGAGCCCACGGCTGGGCATTCCCGGACCCGATCCCACGGCTGGGCATTCCCGGACCCGATCCCACGGCTGGGCATTCCCGGACCCGATCCCACGGCTGGGCATTCCCGGGTCCGAGCCCCTGGATGGGCATTCCCGGGTCCCTTACTGAGCTTCTCTCAGCGAGAGCTTTTTTGGGGCCGCTGTGCAGATTCTGTGCGAAGGGAAAGGCTTTGCCCTCCCAGAGCGGGGTGAGCTCCCCAGACACGGCTGTGGTTTGGTTTGTCCTGTGGGACGTGCAGGTCTGGTCCGGCTCTTCCATAAATCCTGGCACACAGGTTGTGCAGTCTCTGCTGCCTGAAGCAGCTCGGGGGCAAAACGCTGCTTTGCCCAAAGCTACAGGGAGTCATCCCTGAGCTCCTGAAATCCTGTGCTTAGTCGTCCTCTCTGTGGTTGAGTGGAAGCTCACGTTCCACAGACACATTACTGGGATGGATCCAGGTAAATCCCGACACATCCTGGGTGTGCAGACCTTCCATACACAGGTTCTCAGACCCACACGAGCTGTGGGCTCAGGGAGCTGCACTCCTGCTCCTCAGGGCTGGGGCTGCTGCAGCTCCTCTGTTTGCATCGTGTCTGTGAGAGAATGAGCAGGGAGACGGACTTTCCTGGAGTGTTTTCCACCCTCTGGTCAGTGATGCAGTGCTGGGGTTGAAGCTCCCAGGAGCTGCTCCCTGTGAGGGGCTGCAGCCTGAGCTCAGTGTTAGATCTGGCATGGCCAGGTTAGACCAGGAGAACCTAAAACTGGGTGAGATCAGCCCGGGGCCGAAGGAACCCCCTGGTTAAACGCTGCAGGAAGGGCCAGTCCCCGTTCCCAGAGCCCCTCTGCCCATGTCCGTGTCCCCTCACCTTTCCTCTGCTCTCCAGGCGATGGATTCTCCCTATGCCAACGGAGCCTACAGCCCCCCGTACCCGCACTACCCCAGCCTGCCCCAGGCACGGGGGTTCTACTGCTCGGGGCCCCCCCGGACCCCCTACCCCCCGGAGCCCACGGGCCTGTACCGGCCTCCATCGCCCGCTCCCGCCTGGAGCTACGTGTCCCCGGAGTGTCCCGCCGAGGGCTCCGCGCTCCGGAGGCAGCAGGTCCCTGGCTACTCCCCACCACAGGTAAGGGACGGTCTCCAGCCCCCGGGGTGGTGTGTGCAGCTCGTGGGATGTTTTTGGGGGGCTGTGGTGGGGGATGCCCAACCTGAACCGCCCCTGGAACGGCTTGAGGCCGTTTTTTCCTCTTGTCCTGTCTCTTGTTCCCTGGGAGCAGAGCCTGGTTCCCCCCCCCCAGCTCCACCCTTCAGCTCCCAGGGCTGTGTGGAGGGAGCAGTGCTGGGAGTGACCCCGGTGGTAACACCTGTTCCCCCTCTCCTTGCAGACCCCGGGAATGCCGATCCCGCAGTATCCATACGGAGACAGCAGTGCAGGGGTCACGGCCCAGGGGCCTGTGCCACAGCCCAGAGCCCCAGAGGACACGTGGGGCCCCCCCTCAGTGTATGGGGTGCAGCCACGTTACGCCTGGCCCACGGCCCCGGGGCACGGGAACCTGTACGTGTCCGACTCACACCCGTCCTGGACCAACAGTGGGGCTCCTTCCCAACCTCCAGCCTGGGACTCACAGGTACAGGGAACTTTGCAGACAGGAGACCAAAATCCACAGTTGTGGTTCTGTAAACCACTGGAGGTACCAGACATCGTGGGGTGGGTCTTGAAATGGGTCAGACCTCACCTGGCGTGTCCGAGAGCAGCAAAATCAGAAATTGTCCAGCAGGGAGCATAGGACTGACCTATAGGACAGGTGTTCAGCTACAGGTGCTTGTTTTGGGCACGGCCATCCCCTGCTGAGGAGGGGTTTAAATAAAAATCAGAAGGAAAATGTCTGTTTATCTCGGCTTGGTCTGGGTTTGATCAGGAGCCAAGTGACTCTCCAGAGGTTTGATCCCCGGGGAGCAGCAGCCCTGAGGGGGGGATTTGGGGATAGGGGCTGCTGTTCCTTGGGAACAGCTCCAGAGTGTGTTGCCTATGGAGAAGGATCTTCTGGTCTACCCAAACGGGACCGTGCTGAAATCTGTTCAGCATCTCCCCCGTCCCTGGGTAACGAGGGTTCAGGGGCTCACTCTGCTCCTGCAGACACGTGCCCCTTGCTGGGGTTCTGCTCCAGCAGTGCAGATCCCTGTGCCCAGTTTCCCCAGCCGTGCCCACACGTGGTGCAGGCTGAGAGCGGAGACCCCCCGGGTTTAAGGGAGATGCTCTTACGGGTGTTTTCTCCCTCCGACTGCAGGACTCTGCCTACGACAGACCCGAGCAGAGCCCGAGCCAGCACAGCTACTACTCCGAGGTGAACCAGCAGCCCTCGGGGCCGGCGGGGGAGCCCAGGCTGGCCCAGCCCCGGGTGCAGTACAGTGCCCAGCCCCAGCTGTACGACCTCACCCCGCGCCGGCCCCCGAGCAGGGAGCCCGGAGCCAAACCTGCCGACCCACCTCCTGCAAATCCCACAGCCATCCAGAGGATCCTCCACGTCATGGGGCAGGCTGAGCAGCTGGAGGAAGAGGTGGATGAGTTTGTAGGGAAAAAGACAGATAAATCCTACCGGCTCCTGGAGGAGATGTTGACCAAGCTGCTGCTGGAGCTGGATTCCATCGAGACTGGGGGCCAGGACAGTGTCCGGCAGGCCAGGAAAGAGTCCGTCCACAGAATTCAGGCCATACTGGAGAAACTGGAAAGAAAGGGATTGTGAAAGCACATCAGCCACAACACACGGCCTGTTGTTGAGGTTCCAAAGAGTTTCAGTTCTCTTAAATCTCAGCTCTTTCTGCTACGCACTACTGACAATGGAAAATAGCAATAAGCCCTGAGTTAACAATCAAAACAAACCCATGAAAAAGCCACCCCAGAAGCCCAGCCCTGACAGACAACTTGGCAAAGGACAAATTGAGAGAGGTTTGAAGAAGCAAACATCATTAATGAAGATGTTGAAGAGGACTGGGCTGAGGATGAAGCCCTGTGGGGCTGTGTACAGAATTCCCCAGACCAGGCCCAATCTCTGGGTGCCTCCTGCAGCCACAGACGGTCTTTAAACACTTGCCAGATGTGCTGCAACGTGCAGCCACCAACCAAGACTCAGGGCTTGTCCTCACTGCCTGTGTTTTCAGCTTCAGCTCCCTCACCATAAAGCCCGTGTGTCCTCGTGGGGGTTGTTTGGCTTTAGTGCACTCAAGGAGTGACACTGAAGTGCTGGAGGGGGGCACTGTGCTGGCACATCACGTCGGGCTGTTCCTCCTCTGAGGTGAGAAGCCAGTCTGGGGTGTCCCTGTGGACTTAGGAACACAGACTGGAAATCCCAGTTCTGCCACTGGAAAGGAGAGGTGCAGGCAGAGGAATGATGTCAGAACAGATGCAGGGGGTTTGGAATTGATTTCCAGGTCACTTGGGTAAAAATTCCGTTTAATGTCCCTCTCATCCTGTGAGTTTCGTGTCCCACTGCACAGCAGGGAGGGAACAGCTCAGCCTGTTTCAGCCTCCTGGTTACAACGTGCTCAGTGACTCATTGCCGTGTGTGACACTTAATAAACCCTGACAAGTTTTAAATGTTATTTTGTAATTGAGACGTCTCAAAGTCTCTTTTTCTGTAAAGAGAAGTAGTGGGGAAGGTTGTGTAACTCAGACCAAAACTCCAACCGGGCTGTCTGGGTGCCCAGGTCAGGGGTGAGTGGAACATCTGAGAGCACTGGTTGGGGGGTGCCAGGGTGTCCCATCACCTCCCAGGCAGTGCAGATGCTCCAGGAGCCTCCAGCTGTGGCTCCAGGAGCTGTGGCCAAGTTTTGGAAGGGGTTTTGGCACGCCTGAGGCCGGGAGTGCCCTGACCACGCACTCTGAGGGGCTGACAGCCAACCAACATCCTGGAGGCACCCAGCAGATCTCACGTTCCCAGACGGAGCTGCGGGCATGGGACTGACCTTTGGAGCTCGTTGGATGTGTCTGTGGTCACACGTGGTCAGCCTGCACACCCAGCTGTGTCTGGGGTGAGCTGGGAGGGAGCTGGGACAGGGAAAGACTGAGCTGCTGTTTCATCTTGTCCTGTCAGGAGGGAGCAGCCAGACTGAGCTATTCCATGCTTGCAGCCTGTTATCTGCCTGTGGCTATGTTAATCATAGAATCATGGGATGGTTTGGGTTGGAAAGGACTTTAAAGCTCATTTAGTTGCAACCCCTCTGCTATGGGCAGGGACACCTTCCACTAGAGCAGGATGTCTCTGAGCCCTGTCCAGCCTGGCCTTGGACACTCCCAGGGATGGGGCAGCCACAGCTTCTCTGGGCAGCCTGTGCCAGGGCCTCACCACTCTGACAGGGAAAATTTTTTTCATAATATTCAATCTAAACCTGCTCTGTCTCAGTTTGAAACCATTCCCCCATGTCCTGGGCAGCCAGCAGCTGTCAGCCTAAAATCCCTGGAGCTGTCTGAAACCGTTTTCTGTGTTTGTTTCAGTAGCACGAACCACATCAGGAACAACTCTGCATTGTTTATCACCTCCTGTCTGCTCCAATCCCCATTTCCCTCCTCTCTGTTGCCAGGGAGAGGAGGCAGGTAGATCCCAGCTGTGTGAGGAGGAGTGTGGAGCAATCCTGGTGCCTTGCACTCAGCACTGCAATGCAGGGAGCCAGGAGAGAGGGACATGCTGTGCAGGTGGCTGCTGTGTCCCCAGAGCTCTGGGGACGGGACAAAGGTCCCTGTGCTGTGGTGACCTGCTAAGAACAGGGTGAGAAGAACTGCAGGTACGTGTGTGGCATCCAAACCAGGGAAAACCTGTGAGGAAGGAGGAAGCTGTTTTGGTGCTGAACCCATCCAGGTAACCTATTCCTGAACAATGTTTCCTGTTCCTGCCTCCTTGGCAGAGGGTTATGTAAATCCCTAGTGAAAAGCACAGGAGGGAACGTTAAGTGGGCTGGAAGAGCAGGTTATCATTGCAGGGAATTTGAACAGCTCCGTGGGATGGCCTGGCTACGTGTGACCTTGGGGCGTCCCTGGGTGCGTTCTGTGTTACCCCACACCTGAGCTGAGCTGAGCAAAGGGATCAGGGCACACCTCCTGCACTCAGCCTGCGGGAAACTCCAGCTGCTGTAACCACATCCATCCCCGCTGCCTCCACCTCCTTCACACGGGACCAAAGTGGGTCACGGCTTGGGCAGATGATCCCAACAGTCAGTCTCTGCCCAGCAGCCCGGGCAGGAGCTGTGTCAGCACTCACTGGTGTGGGCCCTGCATGGCTGAGGTTTGCAGCCGTTTGCTCTCCATCTGCAGAGCTGGGCATTTTAGCACTCCTGGCCCTTCAGTTTTCCTCACCAGCCTCTGCCGTGGTGGAAGTGAGCCCTGGGATGGGAGTTCCTGGCAACTGGTTTATCTTGCAGAATCCACCCACATCTCAAAGCCCAAATTAGAAAGTCTGTCTCTGTTTGTCATAGGGACCATCTCTACAGAAACCAAACTTACTCTGGGGTTGCCCCCATTGCTTCTCCAGCAGTGCCTGCCCTCAGCACAGGGTTTCTCAATCGCCACCGAGGCCAAAGGGTCACAGAGGGACCGAAAAACAAACATTAAATCAGCGCCTCGTGGTTTCTGCTGCAGATCACCCCATGCTCGAGTGTTTGTCCCTGTCGCACGTGGGAGGCAGCTGGCACGAAGGCAGGGGCTTCCCGGTGATCCCAGTACCCCTGGCCCCGCACCCGGCTCGGGGATGGAGTGACCCGCCCGGGATAAGGGCTGAGGCCGGACAGTCCCGGCCAGCGTTGGCACCGCCCGCGACTGCGCTTGGGCACTGACCGGCCGGGGTCACTGCCAGCGGGGGTGTCTGCAGGCAGGGAACAGGGGCAGGGAACAGGGGCAGGGAACACGGGCAAGGGTCACGGGCAGGGACCACGGGCAAGAGCCGCAGGCAGGGATTGCAGGCAGCGATTGCGGGCAGGGATTGCGGGCAGTCCCCGCTCCGCCCCGGCGGTGACGGCAGCGGGGGGGG